GATCTACAAATTTTTTTATCTGTGACCTCGAAATTACCCGTGACCTATAAATTTCTTGATCTGTGACCTCGAAAAAGCCGCCGGATCGGAGCAGTCACCGGTCGCCGGAGTAATAGCCGGAGCAATGGTGGTGGTGTAGGTGGGGTGAGGTGGGGTGCGGTGCGGTGATTTTATTATATTACAGTTAAATATTTAATTTAATATAATAATTATGAAATGTAATTAATTAACTTAAGAAAAACCTGATTTTTGTAATTTTAAACTGTTGGGCCTGATTTTTAATTTTGAAATAGTAAACACCTGAGCCATAAACTTTTACCTTCTTAAAAGCTTGTGTATAAGGTCCATGGGCCGAGCCTGGTTGGTAGTCCATGGACCGTCTTAGCTCGACTATTTTCACTCCAATTGAAAAGAGCGTTAACATGTGTCACACTAAACGCGTGGACATGCCAGTGCCCATTCACAAAAAATTGTGATGGACCCAGTCTGAGAAATTTGGAAGATGGCCAATTTCAAGTAATAGAACCCATCACAGACTGCAACCCAATGCAGAGTATTTAGAAAAATAAAAAGAAATGAACAATTCAAACATTAGGAGTTATTTGAAAGGCTTTCAATACAAGTTGTAGCATATTTTTTTATAAAAGATGAATTATGATTAAAAAATCTATAAAAGTTATGAATCCTAAAAAAATGTATAGTTAAAATTAATTGTTGATTTTGAAATCAATTTCTTTGTAACTTTTTAAGTTTTACCAAACAAGCACTAATCTTGATATGGAATAATTTTATAAAAGAAAAAGAGCTAAAATCTCATAAGTTATATTTTGCTCGTGTTTGACCGCAATTTTTTAAAATTTGTTTTTATTTAAATTTATTTTTAATCACATATTTTATAAGACTCACAACTTTTATAACTTTTCAACCACACATTTTTTTAATTAAAATTTACTATAAATTTGATTTGTAACAAACCCAAACAGGGGATTTGTAATTGTGTTCAAAATGTATGCAGGATAATGCAATAGGTGATATCACTGGCTACTAAATGCAAACTTAAAATAATTTTCAATTTTATTGGATGAAACATTTGAATTAAACAAATTACAAGAAGGAAAAAAATTCATAAATAAGAGGTTAAATGTTACTCATTTCTAAATTAAGAACAAATGTTTCAAATTTCAAAAATCAGATACAAATTAAAATTTATTTATGATTTAATTAATTAATTAATTAATTATATTAAGTTCACAAATTTATATAATTTGGTCACAATTTAGCAATTTAATTAGTCACATATTATATTTCGGTCACAAATCAGAAATTTTATTTGTTACAAATTATTTTACGGTTATAATTCAGAAATTTTATATGTCACAATTTATTCATCGGTCACAAATCAAAAATTTATAAGTCACAATTTATTTATCGATCACAAATCACAAATATTATAAATCACAACTTAGTAAACAGTCACAAATTATCAAATTATCGGTCACAAATTAAAATTTTTTTATGTCACATTATTTCTTGATCACAATTTATCTTTTTGATTGGTCACATATTAACTAATTTAATGATCACAATCAACCAAATAATTTCTTACTACAACCAACACTTGTGACCATCACCGCACGACTACTTTACAACCACAGCAGCCGCACCATCACCACCACCACCATCACCACCAAACTGCAAACACTATCAACTGTAGCAGCATTTGAATTTGTAGTTGTCACCATCGCCGCTACCACCAGCACCATCGCTAACACCACCGCAACGTAATCTGAATCTGTATCCACCACCATCACTAACACCATTACCACCACATCACCCCCAACAAGTGCAAAATACAAATCAACGATGGTCTTGGGTCATCTTACCAGACGAATCCCCAAGCCGTAGTGAGGACCTGAAAGCGGCGATCTGAGATCTATGAACTGCTAACGAACATCTAAGAGTGCTTTCGCGATGAACGGAGGCAGATTGGGGTCTTCGGGTGAAACTACCAGAAAGCCTGTATCGGCGCTTTTCTCATGAGGCGTTGCTGTGCTCACCACCTTTCCGTGCGACTACTCAAGAGAAGCGCCACCTTCTCGAGAGAAGCGCCACCTTCTCGAGCGGCGCCACTGCAATGCACTGATCGGCCGGCGATAAAGATAGAATATAGAGAGAAGTAGAATGGAGAGAGATTTATGGTTGCTATTTGGGAGTTGGAATCGTCAAATCGGGTTCTGTGTTTTAATTCTATTTTTTAAAAAATTAAATTATTAAAAATTTAAATATCTTCTGATTTTTGGCAAAAAAAAAAAAAAAAAACTTGTATCTCTTAATTTTAAATTGAAAAGTTTAAAACTCTGATTGCTTGTAATTTCCACTTACAACAAATATAAACTCACACATCTTAATCCATCTGCCTGCCTTTTCTTTTTATTTAAAATGTGGAATTCCTTATTATTATTAAAAACTTCCAGAATACGTGAACCAAATGAAATTTGAAACCCTATTTCTTGCACACAACACCTCTGCCGTCCATTCCACTGCCACATTTCATGCTCGGCAGCTCCAAAGTGAATGCAGAAACTTGATCTTTTCCGCCTTGAATAAACTGGAAAACAGCACAATCTGTGGCACAGAGGTTTGAAACTGCAATTTCTCTTTCCCCTCCAAGAACTGGCATTGATACACCCATTTTCACTCTACTCACATAATCATTTCTGTAAGTCTGTCCCAAAACACCGTTTACGTCGCCACTCAGGGAGTAGAATTTGAATCCCAGGTCAAGATGTGCAAAGCAATCCTCATTTGTGATGCCATAGTTATGAACTCGAGATTCTTGTGCAAAGCAATCCCTTCAATTTCGACTATTAAACTATAAGTGTCGGCATCCCTTTTCTTGCTTGTTGCTGGGACAGTTTTGGATTCCATTTCGCGCCTTCGGTTTCTGGGAGAAGGATGGAGGTAGGGGTGGCAAAAGGGCCGAATAAGTCGTCAAAAGTTGGCCCATGGACGGCTCTAGTCCGAGCCGAGGGTTTGCCCAGCGAGCCGGCTTGGCTCATCAAGCACGCGAACCCTGGTGAGCTTGTAAAAAATCTGAAGAAAAAGGTAAAAAAAAAAAAATTTAAAAAGGGCTCATGGGCGAGCCAAGCTCATGGGTAGATGGGAGAGTTGGCTCGACCCATTGCCACCACTAGATGGAGGTCCCGTCCAAGGTGAGGGCGAGGCAGTCGTTGGTGTCATCACATGGCTGTTTTCTTTGCTCCTGTTGGAAAATATGGATCATGGGTCGCCGGGTGACCTGACCCACAAGACATCAAAAGGGTGGGAAAAAAAGATAATAGAAAAATGGTAAAAATTCGTATGAAAAATATCTCCAAAATTGAAAGACACCTAGAATCACTATTTTGGTATGAAAACTCACAAAAAATGGCACTTATGTTGTAGCTAATAATCCACTTCCATTGTGATTGTAATTGATACCATTGGAATGCAAGAAAATTGCAGATTTGAAGTTTTGGAAAGTTAGATAATTCAAAAAAAAATTTGGAATTCATCATTTCAAGTGAGCATCTTGACCCAAAATTCATGTTAAAATATGCTTCAAAAAAATAAAAAATAAAATTGAAATGGGCCAAATAATTGGCCCAATCTTATTAACTGATGGTGGGTTCCATATAGTGGTAATTACATTAAATCAGAATTTTTAAGATTCCATTTCAAAAATCAGATATAAAGTTTATTTATACAAAAATAAGATATTATTTCAAATATTCAATATTATTAATACCACAAAAATTCATCTCAAACCCTAATTAATTCCCCCTCTCATTTCTCTCTCTCTATTTAGCGCGGCGCGTCACGGTCACGGCAGTCGACATCATTTTCCCTCTACCGTCGCGATGTAGTTCTATCTCTCTCTCTTTTTTTTCTCACAACAGTCGGCATCCCTCTCCCTCTACCTGTTGCGGTGCAGCAGTTCTGTTGCGCTGATCTGCTCCTTTTGTAGCGGTATCGTATGATCGTCGAACACAGCACGACGACGCCGCTGCAGGCAGTAATACGATGGCCTCTGCATGCTTGCACCATCACTGCGTGCAGTGGCAACGAGGGCAACAAATTTGGAGAATTTTTAGTGGATGTGGTGATTGTGGTATAATGGTGATGGTAGTGCTGGCCGTGACATTGATGGTGGCGCGGGTGTTGGTGGCGGCGTTAACACTAGTAGGTTGTTTTGTAGTTGAAAATGGTGGTTTGTTGGTGGTGGGGTTGTTGTTTTGAAGTTGAGCATTGTTGGTGGCGGCGATGGCAATGGCATCGTAGTGTTGGTGGCGGTTCATGTAGTGGTGGTGATGGCGGAGGCAAGCGGACTTTGTGCTAGTGTGATAGTGGATTTGACATTGTTGGCAGTGGTGAGATGGTGATCGCAAATAGTTATGGCGGTAGTGATGGCAGTGACGGTGGCGGCGACGGTCGAGTGGGACCAATAGTGTTTGTGACCAATAAATTGAGTAATTTGTGACAAATATATAATGTGACCTAAAAATATGATTGTAACTCACAGTTTACTAAGTTGTGATTGAGAAATAACTTGTGACCAATTAATTTGAGAATTTATGACCCTTAAATAAGTTGTGACGGATAAAATTTATAATTTGTGATCGATAAATGAACTGTAACTTATAAACACTTGTGCCGATAAATAAATTGTGACGTATAAATTTTTGATTTGTGACCAATGAATAAATTGTGATCTATGAAACTTTTGAATTGTGAAAAATAATAAAATTTGTGATTTGTGACCAATGAATAATATGTGACTTATTAATTTAATAGATTTGTGATCGATGAATAAATTGTGACGTATAAATTTTTGATTTGTGACTGATGAATAAATTGTGACTTATAAAAATTTTGAATTGTAACCGTAAAATAATTTATGACATATATAAATTGTGATTTGTGAGCAATTATATGGAATTGTGACTTTAATATATTTAATTTATAAAACATACGTTTAATTTATTTATTTATAAATAAAAAAAATTCGAGATTTGAAATTTTAAACTTAATTTCTTAAATTTGAAAGTAGTGAAATTAACATCTTAGTTATGAAATCTTCCATTCCATATATTTCAAGGCTGAGGCTTGAACTCTGATATACACACTTCAAGCCTCAAAGTCAAAGGTAATTTCTCAAGATCTCTTTCTTCTCTTTCTTCTCTTTCTCTAGCATCAATATGTGAAATGTGGTATGGAATTTGAGTTACAAAACTCATTCAGTTATTCTCCAATTCATTTTATGCATCGATTAGAAATGTAATTTGTTTTGTTTTGTTTTGTCTTCTTCTATTTTATAAATTTTAGTACCTTATCGAGATTTTACTATGTTATTCTCGTCTCATATCCTTTACAATATATAAAAGAGGAAACTTTCTTACTATTCATATGACATCATGCTTACATTTTGATGATGTCACAAAGCACTAAAATTTTTTTGCCCTTTTTGCCCAGCTTTTCCCCTCAACTGTTTCTCTCTCTCTCTCTAGCCATTTGTAGTGTCTTTTTTTCTCATTTCTTGTACGCTTTTTTCTATCTCTCTGTCTATGCCATTTCTGTCACTTTGAAACCGTAAACAATTTCACGGGTTTTCTCCATTTGAAGTGTAAAATTAAGTTGATTCTTTTACAATATCCTACAATATATAAAAGTGGAGGTTTTTTGTCACTATTGTTAAGCCATTTGGCCACTTTATTCGAGCCGTTTGGCCTAGCCGTTTCGTGGAGCCGTGTGAGCCGAGTTGTGGGAGATCTTTCTTGGATTTGCTATCCTCCTTTTGTCCTTTTGCCTTCCTCTTTACGCTAATTTTGTATTTTTCTCTCTCTACCTTTCATTCGATTTCTCTGGACGCTTCTCTTCCCCCTCTCTTTCTCTGGCGATTTCGTTTCTCCCTATTAAAACCCTAAGAAAGTCGTCTGATTCAATTTTGTTGCTATGTTGTAAAATCAGCAGAGTATTAGAGATTCGTTGGGTTCTTCTTCTCTGCGATAGAATTGTTGTGTTTCGTTGTCACTTATTTTTGCCCTTTCGGATCCTCTTTTCGATTCTTTTCAATTTACTGCATACTTCGTCCGGTTCAAGTTTGTTGTCATTTTGTAAAATCAACAGATTATCAGAGAACCGTTAGGTTCTTTTTCTCTACGATCGATTTGTTGTGCTTCGTTGTTACTCATTTTTACCCTTTCGGATCCTCTTTTCGATTTACTGTAAAATACCGAAAGTTGTGTTCTGTTTTTCTGTGAGGTTGCTTCTGACTTTATTCTTCTCTTTATTATCTCTTATTTATGAGATTTCAAAGGGGCTTTCATTTTGGAGGAACGTACGTTTCTTTCAGATTGATTTCCTTTCTGTACCGTCTCTTATTTCTAAGGTTTCAGAGGGGTCCCATTTTCAGGAAAGATACGTTTATGTGTTTGGATTGTGGTTGAAGGTTGATTTATTCAGAAACTTTTATTTTTGTTGGTATCGATGCTTGATGGAGTGGTTTTAAGATGTTTGTATTATTATTATAAATAAATTATTTTATTGAGGCTTAAATAACGGAGGTTTTCTTCTTCTGTAACGTCGGTTCCTTTCTTTTTCCTCTCTATCGTTCCTAATTACTGTGATTTCAGAATGCTTCTCATTTTCAGATAGGGTACGTTTATATGTTTGGATTGTGGTTCAAAGTTGGTTAATTCATGAACAATTGTTTTTTCTTAACACTGATGTTTGATGAATTTGTTTTATAATGTAGAAACATTTTTCTCCTTAACAGTGACGCTTGATGATATGGTTTTAAGATGCTTATATAATTGTTTTCTATTTAACTTTGTTTGTGTGTGCTGTCGGATTTTTTTTCAATCTATGATCGCGTGAAATTTATTCTTTATGTTGGTGAGAACTGTGAGATAAAATGGAAGATTTACTAATCGGTGATCGTAGGAAGTTGTGGACACTAGAAAAAACTTTTGAGATCCTCCCACATGTTTTAATGTCTGTAGTGATTCAAGTAGGGATTGATTTTTTCTTCTATTTAGTTTATTACATTTTACACTGTTTGATTCTATTTTCTCAGGAGATGTCGAAGGACCTTTGATGCTCGATTGATGCTCAGGATTATGGTTGAACCAAATGCTTCATGAGTAGCAACCATTTTTTTTCTAACTGAATATTAGTACATAGTGATTTAATATCATTTCTTAACCAAGTGTGCTAAAAAAAAACCGGTGAAGTTTGCGTGGAATCTAAAATACTGGTTTCTTGCAAGTTGTATAAAATCAGTACAAAAATGTCGTTGAATTGGGAAGATGTTCGAATTTAGTCATTCCGGGTGTATTTATTGTGAGTTTTATTTTGCTACTCTCTGGAAATTTTTTAAAATTGTTCCCAAAATACTAGAGAAATCTTCAAAGAACGGATGTGCAGGATCCCGGCTATGTTTCTTTATAATTTTTTAATTCTTTCACCTTTTTATGTTGGCTTTTTACGTATGCTGTTAACTTACCGTTATTCTCTTTTTGTTGTGTTTGAAGTTAAAAAAAAAAAAAAAATTTAAAAAAGGGCTCATGGGCGAGCCGAGCTCATGGGTAGATGGGAGAGTCGGCTCGACCCACTGCCACCACTAGATGGAGGTCCCGTCCAAGGTGAGGGCGAGGCAGTCGTTGGTGTCATCACATGGCTGTTTTCTTTGCTCCTGTTAGAAAATATGGATCATGGGTCGCCAGGTGACCTGACCCACAAGACATCAAAAGGGTGGGAGTTAGTAATTTGAATTTGAAATTCAAATCCACAACTCCCCATAATCTCCCATGACTCCTATAAAATCTCCAATTTTTTTTGTCTAGAAATGGGAAAAAAAAAGATAATAGAAAAATGGTAAAAATTCGTATGAAAAATATCTCCAAAATTGAAAGACACCTAGAATCACTATTTTGGCATGGAAACTCACAAAAAATGGCACTTATGTTGTAGCTAATAATTCACTTCCATTGTGATTGTAATTGATACCATTGGAATGCAAGAAAATTGCAGATTTGAAGTTTTGGAAAGTTAGGTAATTCAATCATTCAAAAAATTTTGGATTCATCATTTCAAGTGAGTATCTTGACCCAAAATTCATGTTAAAGTATGCTTCAAAAAAATAAAAAATAAAATTGAAATGGGCCAAATAATTGGCCCAATCTTATTAACTGATGGTGGGTTCCATATAGTGATAATTACATCAAATCAGAATTTTTAAGATTTAATTTCAAAAATCAGATATAAAGTTTATTTATACAAAAATAAGATATTATTTCAAATATTTAATATTATTAATACCACAAAAATTCATCTCAAACCTTAATTAATTCTCCCTCTCATTTCTCTCTCTCTATTCAGCGCGGCGCGTCACGGTCAAGGCAGTCTACATCATTTTCCCTCTACCGTTGCGATGTAGTTCTATCTCTCTCTCTTTTTCTCACAACAGTCGGCATCCCTCTCCCTCTACCCGTTGCGGTGCAGCGGTTCTGTTGCGCTGATCTGCTCCTCTTGTAGCGGTATCGTACGACTGTCGAATGCAGCACGACGACGCCGCTGCAGGCAGTGATACTATGGCCTCTGCATGCTTGCACCATCGCTGCGTGCAGTGGCGACGGGGACAACGAATTTGGAGATTTTTTAGTGGATGTGGTGATTGTGATGTAATGGTGATGGTGGTGCTGGCCGTGACATTGATGGTGGCGCGGGTGTTGGTGGTGGCGTTAACACTAGTGGGTTGTTTTGTAGTTGAAAATGGTGGTTTGTTGGTGGTGGGGTTGTTGTTTTGAAGTTGAGCATTGTTGGTGGCGGCGATGGCAATGGCATCGTGGTGTTGGTGGCGGTTCATGTGGTGGTGGTGATGGCGGAGGCAAGCGGACTTTGTGCTAGTGTGATAGTGGATTTGACATTGTTGGCAGTGGTGAGATGGTGATCTCAAATAGTTATGGCGGTAGTGATGGCAGTGACGGCGGCGACATGATGTTCGTGGCGGCGACGGTTGAGTGGGACCAATAGTGT